CAGATGAGGGACTTCCCTGGCGGTACAGTGGTTAAGACTTTGTCTTCCAGTGCAGGGTGTGCGGGTTCGATCCCTGGTCGGCGGGTTAAGATCCCACATGCCTCGTGGCCAAAATACCAAAACATAAAACAGAAGCAATATTGTAACAAATTCGATAAGGACTTTAAAAATAGTCCACATCAAAAAAATCTTAAAAAAACAAAACAAAACACAAAAACAGCTGAATGATGACCTGAGAGAGAGATGGTGGATGGGATCTGGAATCTCAGTGAGGGTTTCCTAGGTTGAGCCATCACTTACATGGATAGATGGAACGGACACCACTGGAGAAGTCCAGCTTTGCCAGGACGGAGAGCCTCAGGCCGCCCTGGAGGGCAGGGGCAGGCAGCTCTGCTCACCTGTGGGTTCCGTGCTGGGGTAGGAGGGCTGCAGCCGGCTCACCGCTGTGGCAGTGCCCGGTGGGGTCTCTGGTGAGGCAAGCTGATCACCACATCCCTGCTAGCTCCCCCTTCTCTTCCATTTCTTCTGTTTGTTTGCTAACCCGTCTCTCGTGGTGTGTAGAGTGAGAGGCTGGTTATCCCTATCACACGTCATCGTTTTCTGTGGGCTCCCCCCTCTCCAGGCACAGTAATTTCGCCGTCCCCAGATGAGGGTGACGAGTGTTTGAGATGCATAACTGTGTCTCCTTTCAGTGCCTAGCACAGGATGGAGAATGAGGCCTGGCACCTTTCTGCTCAGTGAATTCGTAAGGACAGGCTTCCTCGTCTCGCCTCTTGCAAAGCAGAGAGCTGTTGATTGGCTTGTGGGTCCCTGAGTGTGCACAGTGAGGCGGGGTGTGGCAGGCACACTTTCCCGGGGCTCGGCAGGTTCCAGTACAGGGACGGCCGTAAGTTCCCTCCAGAGGGTCGGTGGCTGAGGCCTGACCCGCACCTGCCTGTCTGGAGTGAGGATGACCAGCCCTGCTGGAGTCTGGTTGTTGGCAGCGGTGTTCTGAGAGCTGTGTTAGGCAGCAGAGAATATGGCACCCAAAGAGCGGGCTCTTCCCGACAAAGGCGAGGGAGCAGGTGCTGAAGCGGGTTCAGGTAAAGTCAGGAGACATGGGAAGAGCCCTGGATTAGGAGTCCAGGGACCTGAGCTTAATCCCATGCCCACCATGAACTCACTCTGCGACCTCCTGCAAGTCCTTTACCTTCTGTGGATCACAGCTTCCTCGTCACTAAAATCAGGGACTGGGAATCATCAAACTGGACCATCTCTTTCAGCTCAAAAACGTCTAGATTCTTCTCTGATATTTAGATTTGCACAGACAATTCATGATGAACCAGCCCGACCTCCTGACCCCTCATCACTCTAACAGAGATGGTGCCATCGGGCTTTTTTTTTTTTTGCGGTACGCGGGCCTCTCACTGTTGTGGCCTCTCCCGTTGCGGAGCACAGGCTCCGGATGCGCAGGCTCAGCGGCCATGGCTCACGGGCCCAGCCGCTCCGCGGCATGTGGGATCTTCCCGGACCGGGGCACGCACCCGTGTCCCCTGCATCGGCAGGCGGACTCTCAACCACTGCGCCACCAGGGAAGCCCCATTGGGCATTTTTTGATCCTAATCCTTTCATCTTCTTTCACTCTTGTCAACAACAACTGTCACTTAAGAAGCGCTTACTTCGGGCCAGGAGAAGCCCTGTGCCAGGCACCTTCCAGCCCTTTATGCTTTCAGCGGCAAATAGTTGTGCCCATTGTGAGGGCATGACCTGTGAGGTTATGCCCTGGGAGTCCCCAGGGGCTTTGCTGTCCTCCTGTAGAGCTGGTATTGCCGGGTGATGTCCTGGGATTTCTGTGTGTGGGAACTTACATGGGTTAAACTGGACTTCTGAGGGCTCTGGAATTGTGCTTTCCTAGAAATAGGACGGGCTTTGCAATGATACAAAGCTGGGTTTCAACCCCAGCTCTGCCACTTACGAGCCATTTGTTCTTGCAGAGCTAGTTTCCTCACCTGAAAAGCAGGTCAGACACTCCTGACCCCAGCGAACAGTTGTCTGAGGAGTGAGGTAATGGGTGTGCCAGCATTTGCCTTGGGGCCCGGGGTCCCCTGAATGCTGCACAGGTGCTGATGCTTCTCCTCGCTTCCAGCCCCTCTTCCCGCCACTCAGGAAAGAGTTCTTGAGTCTCCCCTCCATGTCAGGTGTGGGTCTAGCACTGTGGACACACTAGCAGGCAAGGCAGTGCCCCCCCTACCCCCACGGAGCTCACAGGCCTCAGCTCCAAACTCAGTTCTTTAGGCAAAGGCTAAATCGACAGGAGCACGGAGGCTCCTCCCTGGGAGCGGGGGCTGAGCTCTTTTCCTTTAAGTTTCTTCCCTCAGCACTGTGCATTTTAATCTCAACCTCCCAGGGGCACCCTGACGAGGTCCTGGCTCCCTCTCCAGCCCTATCTCCTCCTGCTTTCCAGACAGACTCTTCCTGGCGTGCACCCTGGTTGAAATGCCCTTGCCGTGGCTCCATGGACCCCTGCCCAAGGAGGCCCTCCCTTTCCAGCTCTGCGGGTCCTCTCGAAGTTCACGGCTCAGCCCAAGTGCCATCGCCTCTCCAAGGCCTCCCACAGCCTTCTCCTTGCTCCCTAGCCCGGGGTTAGAGGTCAGCTGTCCTCACCCGAGCTCTCGAAGTCCGTCATGTAACGTTTCACTGTCTGAGTAATTGGGTTCTGGCGGTGTCTGCCCCCCTGACTCTGGGTTTTTCAAGGGCCTGGTCCAGCCTCGGCCATCCTTGGATCCATGGTGTCTTGTTCATTTGGAATGTGCCCTAAGCCTACGTTTGCCATGTGGGGGAAGAGATGAAGGCCCTCTGCTCACAAGACTGCTGTCGGTCCGTGGGTGTGCCAGTTTCCCTCCTCTGATGTCTTCTTGAGAATGTTTGTGGTTTTCATTGGGAATGAAAACGTCAATGTCAATGTCATTGTTAGCTGACAATGTCAAGTGTTTGTTTTGCTTTCCTTCTTCTTTCTTCTCTTGGTTTCCATCTAACTTTGTACTCTCTCTGCTTGTGGGAGGGGCAGATAGGTTTCTTTGACTCAGCCATCTACCTCTTCCCATCACCTTGTTTCTGAGTTGTTTGGGAGGGGGAAATGAGAGAAATTCCACAGAGCCGAGATGTCTCCGAATAAGATGTAGGCCATTCCTGCCCAGATTTCTCCCAAACTGGAAGAAATATGAAGCCATCCTCTGGAAACACACGCAGAAAAGCATCTTGAATAGAAATGAATGAGACCATTAGGATGGAAAGCTATTTTGTTCCACGGGGAGTTATTTATTTATTTATTTACTTGACCACTTTTCTTAAAGCATTTGTTCTCTGTCTTTAATGAAAACCTCTCAGAGAAGGCCTCACCCTGGGCAGCGGCCAAGACCTGCCTCATTAAAATGATGTCGGGGGACTTCCCTGGCGGTCCAGTGGTTAAGACTTCCCCTTCCGATGCGGGGGGGTGCGGGTTTGATCCCTGGTCGGGAACTAAGATCCCACATGCCTCACAGCCAAAAAACCAAAACATAAAAAAACCAAGAGCAATATTGTAATAAATTCAATAAAGACTTAAAAAAAAAATGAGAAAAACGAAATGGGGCTTCCCTAGTGGCGCAGTGGTTGAGAGTCCGCCTGCCGATGCAGGGGACACGGGTTCGTGCCCCGGTCCGGGAAGATCCCACATGCCGCGGAGTGGCTGGGCCCGTGAGCCATGGCCTCTGAGCCTGCGCATCCGGAGCCTGTGCTCCGCAACAGGAGAGGCCACAACAGTGAGAGGCCCGCATACTGGAAAACAAAACAAGACAAAACAAACAAACAAAACAAAACAAAAATATCCAAAATGACATTGGGGCTCAGACCTGGGCAGTGCGCCCAGAGGACCTGGTGGCTGCCTCAGAGTAAAGGGATCCGGGTTGTGGGTCGTTAATTTGGCCTCATGCACTGTCCAGCAGGGGGGGAGGTGCAGAGGAGAAGCTTCCCCTGCAGTAGGTGCAGACCCAGAGGGCCAGGGCTGTAATGGACAGCCCCCCAAAAAGGGTTGTTTGAACTAGTCTTCTGTGTGTAAACAGTCACTGGTGGACGTCCCCGTCTGTGCCTGGCTGGAGTAAACTGAGATGTTTTTAGCAGGACAGCATGAGAGTCTGCCATGGACTTGGACAGTCCTGGTCCTGGTTTCAGTTGGCCTCTAGGGCTTTTAGCTGTGCAAACTGGATTACTCCCCTCAGCTGTAAGGTGGGAGTGTCAGTAGTACTTATATCACGAGGCTGCTAGTCAGGGTCCCAGCCGGAAACATTGTACATACAAATCAGGTCATTTGCACAAAGGTTAATAGAGGGGGTCTTGACACATGCCTCCTTAGAGGCAGGGCAGTGTTTGGGGACGAGAACATTGAGGCCCGCTCCCTCCCCTAGGACCAAAGGGAGGCAGGCAGGAGGTGGTTCACAGGACCTGCAGCCCCCCTCCCCTCCTCCTAGCCTTTCCCTGTCCCACTGGGCTTCGGCTGATTCTCCCCACTGGCTGCACCTAACCAGGCCCAAGGGCAAGGAGCCTGCAGAGGTATAGTCCATACAGGCCAGCCTCCTGGGCATGGAGAAGGGTAGAGGGCAGATCTGGAGGGGCAGATGGAAGCTGCCCTGCAATGAAGGGTTTGTTAAGATGAAATGAGGGTCTCTGGGAGGTGCTGGACAGTGGCTGATGCAAAGTCAGCCATTCTGTGGGCAATGGCTATTTATCATCATCACCGTTATCATTGTTGTCACTGTTGCTAGTATTATTACTAGTACTATTACTGAAGCGCCCTCCTGCTGCCCTCCCTCTTGGGCACTCATACCCACACACTGGGGACTGGCTCCCTTGGCCCCAGCGTCCCCCATTGCAGGTCTGTTTCAGCGTGTGCAGGATGCTTTGAGGGCCCAGCCAGACAAGCTGTGGGGTGAAACTAAGCCTCTGCCTTTGTCAAGCAGCATCACGTCTTTCCTTTCCCCCCGTAGGGAGCCTGCACCCCTCCCTCGACACTGCTGTGCCGAGTGTGACCGTGACCCGAGGGCGCGTCTCTGAAATGAGAGCCATGCCTTGGAATTGGACCTGCCTGCTCTCCCACCTCCTAATGGTGGGGATGGGCTCCTCCACTCTACTCCCCCAGCAGCCACCCCTGCTGCCCCAGAAGCGGTCTTTTGTCACGTTCCGCGGGGAGCCCGCCGAGAGCTTCAACCACCTGGTGGTGGACGAGAGGACAGGGCACATTTATGTGGGGGCCGTCAATCGGATCTACAAGCTCTCCAGCGACTTGAAGGTCCTGGTGACCCACCAGACTGGGCCGGACGAGGACAACCCCAAGTGCTACCCTCCCCGCATTGTCCAGACATGCAACGAGCCCCTGACCACCACCAACAATGTCAACAAGATGCTCCTGATAGACTATAAGGAGAACAGGCTGATTGCTTGCGGGAGCCTGTACCAAGGCATCTGCAAGCTCCTCAGGCTGGAGGACCTCTTCAAGCTGGGGGAGCCTTTTCACAAGAAGGAGCACTACCTGTCGGGGGTCAACGAGAGTGGCTCTGTCTTTGGGGTGATCGTCTCCTACAACAACCTGGATGACAAGCTCTTCATTGCCACGGCCGTGGACGGGAAGCCAGAGTATTTCCCCACCATCTCCAGCCGGAAACTGACCAAGAACTCAGAGGCGGATGGCATGTTCGCATATGTCTTCCACGATGAATTTGTGGCCTCGATGATCAAGATTCCTTCGGATACTTTCACCGTCATCCCCGACTTTGATATCTACTACGTCTATGGCTTCAGCAGCGGCAACTTTGTCTACTTTTTGACGCTTCAGCCTGAGATGGTGTCTCCCCCTGGCTCCACCACTAAGGAGCAGGTTTATACGTCCAAGCTCGTGAGGCTTTGTAAGGAGGACACAGCCTTCAACTCCTACGTGGAGGTCCCCATTGGCTGTGAGCATGGCGGGGTGGAGTACCGCCTGCTGCAGGCCGCCTACCTGTCCAAAGCTGGGGCCGTGCTCGCCCGGACCCTCGGGGTTCGCCCAGAGGACGACCTCCTCTTCACCGTCTTCTCCAAAGGCCAGAAGCGGAAAATGAAATCCCTGGACGAGTCGGCCCTGTGCATCTTCGTCCTGAAGCAGATCAATGACCGCATTAAGGAACGGCTGCAGTCCTGCTATCGGGGTGAGGGCACGCTGGACCTGGCCTGGCTCAAGGTGAAGGACATTCCCTGCAGCAGCGCGGTGAGTCCAGGGAGGGCCTGTGGGCCGGGGTGGCATGGTGTCAGAGACCTAGGCTGTGGCCTCCATGGGGTGTGAATCATCTGTCCCATTTTGTAGATGAGGCAAGTATATCCCACCTCCGGGTCTCACTGGTCTCGGATTATCACCAGCTCAAGCATGCTGTGACCATGTCACTGAGCTTATAAGAGTCAGAGCTGGAGCTAAATGTAGATTTCCTATCGGCTCTTTTCTCTATTCTGGTTGGCTCACTGGCTGTAAGAGGAGAGGCTGGAATAGGCAGAACTGTGTGCCATAGATGCCACGTGCACCAGCCGTTCTTGAAGACTGCGCTGTCGTATGCGGTGACTTGAGAGGTGTACCCACCTTCTTACCGACCATGCTGCAAGTCACTCTCCTGGGAGCCTAGAATAAAAACAATGGGTGGTGGAGGCAGAGCTTAGAGTAAAACCGGTACTGGGAGTAGGGAGGCAGTCATTTTACATTTGGGGTAGATGTAGAACTTCAGGAGAGGTATGTTTTTAGCCCCTTGCCTATCTTTAGGAAATGGGAAAATAAGATCAGAAGAAGTAGGGTGAGAGTCCAGTGAACACAGAGGGGAAAACATATTTATTAAGTATCTTCCGTGTGCACAGTCTCATGGAAGAAACGTGTCCAGAGCAGCCATGGAGCAGTGCTGGGTGACAGAGGGCTGAAGGAAACCAGGGGGCGGGGAGAATGAAGGGTTGGTTTAGGAGGCCTGCCCAGGGCCCGTGAGCCCTGAGGGACAGACCGGACCTCAGAACTGCTGGGCAACCACCAGTGCCACGGGAGACACAGCCTCCTGCCTCTCCCAACATAATTCACTTGTGACCCAATGTGAAAAGCACCTGCCTTTCTGTGGCTTGACTTCTGTTCATCTTCATTGTTGTTTTTTTCTCAACCATTCTTAATGTGACTTGGAAGGTTCAGCTCTTGGCATCTTCTATGCCCTGTGTCACTTTCCTTTCCCTTTTTCTTTTTTATTGTCCAGTTGAAAAATTATGAACCTAGTTGGAGAAAATCTATCCTGTAGTCTTAATGTAGGGAGAAGAAAGGACAATTCAGTCATCAGGTAGAAGTATGCACGTGCATGGATGTGATTCTTGACTCCTAGTCAAACTTTGGTGGAATTCCATATTAGGAAAATGTACTTGGATTGTTTTAAGAAGTGCAAGTTTCTTTTCATGCCAAGCAGACCTCAGAGGGCACTGGCACCCACACCTCCAGCACGCGGTGAGGCCATTCCTCCGGGCAATGGGATTTGGGGGAGGGGAGAGGGAGGAGAAAGAAGGAACTCACTTGTGCCCCAAGGTTTCTCTTTGGTGCCCTAGCATTTAGGCTCAGGCTGTTTTCTAGTGATGAGTTTTCCAGTTACCTGGGCTGATACTAAAAGATGCCATTTCTTCTTGGGGGTTCTGGAAAGCCAGGAGACCCCTAGTGTCGCAAAGGAAATGGGAGAGACACCAGGCGCCAAAGAAGGAAGCAACATGTTGACCATCATTTCCAGGCCAGAGAATTGAGGGGAGTCCCCTGTATCTGCTGAGCCCTAGCAGGTGACATATCTTTTGGAGACTTTGGTTTGGGCAGTAGGTGATCCACTCAGGAGAGTCTGTGAGACTAGTTTATGAACTTGGGGGTCATGCACTGCTCCCACATGAAGGCAGTGAATGACAGGCCAGGTGCTGTGCTTTGTGTATGTATATTACACGCTCAGACGTAGGTCCCTGGGGAGATGCCCTAAGAGTGTTGACATGGGGAAGGTGCCCAGAGATCCCTTGGTCTTTACCTTCATTCTGAGGCCCAACAACTTGAATGAGTTGCCCCAGGTCATAGAATTTGTGAGTGAATAGCAGAGACCGCATTTGAAGAGAACCACCACCCCCCTTGCCTCTCACCACCACACTTGCACACATGCACATACATACACACTCCTACACACATGCATGTGCACGTACACAAGAAATACCCTCACAAGCACTCACATATACACCTGTGTTAGAAAATAGCAAGTTCATGCTGTGTGCTTACTAAACAGCTAGTTCTTTTGAGATCAGAGGGGTTGGCTATTTTTGCTGCAGAAAACTTGCTCCAATCCTGTCTTTTTGGGCAATGCTTTTGGGAGTAAAATCAGCTGCGGAGATCAGCCTGGCTGCCCATGGGCAAGCATTTGCTCCCTGCCACAGTACAAAAAGCAAAGTTCATCACGGGAGTCTGCAGAGCTGCAGGTCCTAACATCCGCCTGGCGGCCTTGGAGAGAACAGAGGGAAGGCAGCTTTGCAAGACAGGCTAATGCCAGGACTGGGAGTAATGGAGCCAGATAACAAGCTTTTGATTTTTCTTTGGGCTTTAATTAGCCTTTTCAAGTTCGAGGCAAGTTCAGGGCTGAGAGCAGAAAGGAGGAGGCCAGAAACTCCGCACAGGGCTGGGGCTGTCTCCCCAGCCAGTCTAAAAGGCCACACCAGCTTTTAATGCACAGTATCAGTTTCCTTTGATTCAGCCCACACTCGAGTTAGTTTGCTCTGGGGCTTGGCTACGGTTCTTTTGGCCTCAGCTCAGACCACGCAGGCCAGGCTCCTGGGTGTCCCCGTTGAGGAGCCCTCACAGGCACAGTGTTTGCAAACCCAGCTTTTCCTGCACTCATTCATTCACAAGACCGTTGGTTTCCTTTCCTTCTTGCCTTCTTACCTTGAGGCAGGGAGGGATGAGATGAATTCTAGAGTTCTTTTCTGCCTCTGAGTCCAGGATTCCCTTGAGGCCTGGGAAGGGGAACCGATTCTCAGATGGCCTCTGTCCTGCGGCGTTTCAGCTGCAGGAGAGTGGGGGAGGGGAGCATGAGGCCCAGGAGGCTGACTTTAGGACTTGTTTTTTGTAGGGTTGGGTGTCCCTTGTGGGTTTTGTCATAGTTACAACTCAAAGAGCTTGAAAAGTGGTTCGTTTTAAAACTGAGATATAATTGACATGTAACACTATATTAGTTTCAGGTGTACGGCATAATGGTTCGATGTTTGTATATATTGCAAAATGATCACCAGAAGAGCCTATAGTTAACATCAATCACCATACATAGTAACACATTCTTTTTCTTATGATCGGAACTTTCGAGATCTACTCCCTTAGCAACTTTCAAATATACAATACAGTACTATCAACTATGTCACCATGCTGTACATTACATCTCCAGGACTTATTTTGTATCCGGTATTTTGTACCTTTTGCCCAGTGACTCATTTTTATTGTGCTCCTGTTGTCCTAGTTCCCTAAGCTAGAATGCTTGTTCCATGGTGCTCTTCAGGCCTTTCTGGTCTCTTCATTTCCTGGGATTCACATTCCTTCCCCTGAACTCATGCCTCCAGGACTCAGAGCAGGTAGTAGTATGAGCCCTGAGGCTCCACCCCCTCACCAGGTCCCAGCTGTGTTTGGCTGTGTTCAGGGAAAATGGGGTCGGAGCCTGCCATGCATGGGGCGTTGGTGGAGCCACGTGGTGGCCCACAGCCTGGTGACCAGCTGCGGGGAGAAGCTTTAGGCTGGGAACCTGGAGCCTCGATCTGCAGGCCCCCAGGGAGCAACCTGTTGTCTTTATTCCAGGAGAACCAGAGAGGCTGGCTGAGCCCCTATCACAGATAAGGGCCAGCCGGCCAAGAGTGTCTTCCTCTTGGGACTGTGTCCCTGTGAACGTCAGCGCATGTTGCAAACGAAAACCCTGGAGTGGGCGTTGGGTGTAGAGGCTGGGGAAGCAGCCCAGGTGTTTGCTGGTGCTTGGGGGAGGCGGGGACGGAAGCAACTTCTAGTTTTGCCTTCTGGGCCTCTGCCGTTGCGGAGCACAGGCTCCGGATGCGCAGGCTCAGCGGCCATGGCTCATGGGCCCAGCCGCTCCGCGGCATGTGGGATCTTCCCGGACCGGGGCACGAACCCGTGTTCCCTGCATCTGCAGGCGGACTCTCAACCACTGCGCCACCAGGGAAGCCCTACCATTCTTTCTTGTGTTCTGTTTTTCCCAGCTTGGATGGAAAGAGGTATCCAAGAACAAATGGGCTGGCGTCTGAAAATTACTCTAAGGACCTCAGGAGGGCCTGTGCAGAAGGAGGGTCCTAGAGGGATCAGCCAGGGGTCCTCCAAGTGTGTCTTAGGACTTGGGAGACTGTAGATCAACCTAAGGCCTTTTGCTGGTGAGCATCCAGGGGCGGGCTTAAGGATAATGATGTAATTTCTTTGTTTCTGCTGCTCAACCCTGAGATGGTCTCTATCTTTGGTGCCTTGGAAGGCTGCTATCCGGGGTCCCCAAACCCTCTGTCTGCAGAGCAGTGACAATTGAGACAAGGAGCTCACAGCCTGAGGCTCTTGTCATGTGCCACGGCCCTGAGCAGGCCAGGGCGACAGCTCTCAGCCCCTTTCTGGGAGCCCCGACACTCCTGACCTGCAGTGGGACTGCTGGGCTGGAGGCTGTGCTGTTGAGGCCCGAGGCTCTTGTGTTCTATGTGGGCCGAGAGGCCCGGTGTTCTGGAGGCCCCGTGTTCTGGAGGCCCCCGGGCATGGCTATCTATATCTCCTCACCCTTTCTTCAGCCTTTGGGGTCACCTCACAGGACACTAGCCCTTCTGCCTCCAAATGAGTTAATGAATGGATGAAACTCTCATTAGGCCCTTGGCAATGTACCCTCTCCTGGTTGGTGCCAAGAATCATGACATGACATCAGTCTCCAGGAGCCTAGGAGTCCAGGAGAGAGACGCATCCAGGCGGGTCATTACAGCCTGTGTGACGGGAACGAGGGCTGTGGCCATGAGAGTGACTGTCACTCATGCCACTTAAGTCTTCCCTAAGTTTGGAGCCAGTTGGATTGGATGTAGGAGTCAGGCAGCATCAGCTTCAGTGCTGAGAAGCCTGGATGAGCAAAACTCAGCTGCTTAATCGCCCCCTCAAGACTCGAACTTGGAACTTAGAAGATGTCGGTCCGTGGGACGGAGACTGTCACCGGAGTGACCGCC